TCTTTTCCCCTACCCTTCCCCCAACCTACCTTCCTTAGGGTCTGTGCCACTCAGAACACTGTGTTCCCGATGAATATTTTCAGCAGGCTTTCTGCCTTCCTGCTGCTGAAAAGTCTTGGTTTATACAGGCTGGCTCACTTATTAGTCACTGTCTGCTTTACAAGGGTGTGGCCACCTTTCCAGAGATCAGACAATATAGCTGTTCTTTGTTGAGCAATATTATCTTCGGCTTAGTTATCTTCTTTCATTCTCATCTTCCAATGTCTTTGGCTTGGGATGGCTCATTGTAACACTCTATACATAGCTGAGAACATAGAAACAGCCATTCTGGGTCAGACCAAAGGCCCAGTGTCCTGTCTTCCCACAACGGCCAATACCAGATGCCCCAGAGGCAATGAACAGAACAGGGAATCAAGTGATCCCTCCCCTGTCATCCATATCCAGCTTCTGACAAACAGGCTAAGAACACCATTCCTACCATCCTGGCAAAAAAAAGTATTGATAGGTCTGTCCTTCATGAATTTATCTAGTTCTTTTTTGAATCCTGTTAAAGTCCTGGTCTTCACAACATCCTCTGTCAAGGAGTTCCACAGGTTGGCTGTGTAGATGTATATATCCTAAAACAATACATTGCTATTTTGTGTCTGTTTGCACAGGTTGTGATGAATCTCTTCCATGCTGCAAAAAGGCTTATGTTCCATGAGCCAACCAGAAGTATGCCGATGGGTCCATTATGAGTTTTGGTTCTACTGAGAATGCCAAAGATCACCAATGCTTTGTCTACTGTAATGATCATTGTTGTTAATGCTACGTATTCTGCTACATGCTTTCCTAAGCATTAGTCAGTAATGATTAGTAGATGGCGTGGTTGAAAACAGTAGAAAACATTTTTTGCAAAAAAAATTCAAAATTTTTGCATTTTAGTTTTGAAAGTTTTCAACCTTCATAAGTGGGTTAAAAAGAGCAAAATCTGTGTATAAAAACATATTTCAAAGCTTGTCTATTTGAAATGTTTTAACCAAGTTACTAAACAGTATTGGCCATTCCATCATCACACATAATAGTGAGGTGTTCCGATGTGATTTTGACAATTCAATCTCTTATCATGATCCCCATCAGCTTGCTTGTGATACAATTTGATGTTCTTGGTGCCTACTCGTGGGATCACAGATGCAAAATTTCAGGAAACACCCTTCTTTGTGGAGTTAATATCTTTAAACCATTCCCAAATGATTGGTGTTTGTGCCATTAATGATCCACTTCTGGAGAGCTATAGCTATTAGCCCACTTTCCTTTGTTCTCCTTGTCTGAAAATGGCTATATCCTGAAACGGTCAATAGAAGTTACTTGGAAATCGTAAGTCTCATGAGAGGTACAGTGCCATCTATTTACCCTGAGGGTTTGTCTACCCTTCCAACGCTAGAGTGGTGCAATTATGGAGCTGCGCCATAGTTGTTTTCAGTGAAGACACTACCTTCTTTGACAGAAGTGCTTGTCCCATCGACGTGGGCACGCCACCTCTCTGAAGGCACAGCTTCGCTCCTTGGAACATTGCCACAATCAATCTTCCAGAGTTTGATTGAGCAAATCTAGTTAAGACTCGCTAAATCAAATTCAGATTGCACCCCCACTGGCATCCGGTACTCCTGCTCTTGTCATTGTGGGGACACCACCAAACTTGGCTTAAGGTAAGCCAACTCCAGCTACGTATTAAATGTAGCTGGAGTTGCGTACCGTAAGCCGAGCTGCCAGGTCTAGTGTAGACCTGGCCTGAGAGGCAGTAGCTGTGTTGGCGAGAGAAGCCTGTCTATAGTGCTGTCTGTACTGGGGGGCTAGGTCAAGGTGTTGCTCGGGGTGAGGAAAATCCACACCTCTGTGATGTAGGAATACCAACATAACTTGGTAGTATAGACTAAGTCTTAAGAGTGTAGGGATGAGGAAAACATTTGGAAGAAATGAGGGGATGGGGGAAAAGAACAAAAAGTGGATAAACCCAAGTAGGGAGAAAATTGGTAGGGCATGGTTTGTGTCTCAGTCATGATGTCATGAAATGGCAATGGCCGTACTTATG